ATATGTGAAATCTAAAAAAGAACTCACAGAAGTAGAGAGTAGAATGATGGTTACCAGGGGCTAGAAGCTGGGGAATGAGACAACTGGGGAGATGTTAATCAAAGGATAAAAAATTTCACTTAGGAGAAATAAGTTTAAGAGATTCATTGCACAAATGCTGACTATATTTAGTAAAAATGCATTGTGTATTTGAAAATTGCTGAGAGTAGATTTTAAATGTTGTCATCACACACAAAAAGTATGTGAGGTAAGTAATAAGTAATGTGAGGTAACATATTATGTTAATTAACTTGGTTTAACCTTTCCACAATGTATACATATATCAAAACATCATGTTGTACACTAAAAATATAAACAATTTTCATCAATTAAAAAATAAGAAAAAAAGAATTTAATATCTGAAAACTTAAAAATTTTCAAATCGTTTATTAAAACACATAATTTATATTGGTAACATTTTTATTAAATACTGTGAATGATAATAAGTTCTCCTTAACAATTCCTTGTTTTATACCAGTTTCCTCATGCAATGTACATTCATCATCAGTGCGAGCCGTATCTTTCCAGATCATTTTACATGCATTTAAGACACAGGATAATACTATAATAACAACACACAGTGCACTTCTGTTATGTGTTAATATTTTACATACAAATTACATTGTACATAATATACCACCAATTAGTTTTATTAGTCAGGACCACTTTCTGGAGATACTAACATTAAAGATTATGAATATACCATAGTTTATAGTTTCTCACTTTAGACTTTAACATTTTATTTTTCTATGTTCGCTAGAATGTACAGTAATTCTACAACAATCATTGTACTCTGCAAATTTTAAACAGGTGTATTATCTGAGTGGTTCCCAAAAGTGGAATTGATGGCTCATAGGTTTCACTAGTTACATCTTACTACATAACAAATTACTCTAAAACTGAGCAATTTAAAATTACAAGCTTCAATTATCATACAGTTTCTGATGGTTAGAAATCTGGGAGCAGCTTAGGTAGGTGGTGCTGGCTCAGTGTCTGTCATGAGGTAGCAGTGATGCTGTTGACCAGGTCTGCAGTCACTGAAGGCTTGAGTACAGATCTTCTGTTTCCTTGTCCAGACTAATTTAATAGCAAATAATAAACCTATCTATTTAGATTTTCTGAAATATGATGAAAAATATCAGGAAATCACTTTATTATCAGATTAGGAAATAGAATGCTCATGGGCAAAAAGATATAAATGTAACAAAGTGGAAAGGTTTGCTGAAATAATTATAAAGCCCATATTTTGAATATCCAACAAACACAATCACACACTGATTTTTTTTATTATTAGTCTGTGATGTGTAGTGATCACTAATAATTGAAATGTTCTCAGCTACAGTATTTTCCTAAGCTAATTTACTGAGGAGAAAAAATTTTACAAAGGTAAAAATCTATTTGCTCAATGAACATTGTTTTTTCATTTAATTTCCAATACATTGGATCACTTTAGTAGATTCTCTTATCTACTGACTTTAGTTTCCAACCCCTCTGGAAGTTCAGCTGTTCCCACGTGGTATGTCCTATATTCCTGAAATAAACCCTTCTCAGTAACACTGAATATTAAATTATAAATTTTATATGTAAATTTATAAATTATATTGGTTCATTTTCAAATTTTTGGTATCAAGATATAATAGCCACATAAAAACCTTTCCATAGATTTCTCTTTTTTTTGGTTTTGTAAAATTGATTCAGGGCCGGCCCGGTGGCACACTGCTACAGTGCGCTGCTTGGGAGTGCGGTGGCGCTCCCGCCGAGGGTTCGGATCCCACATACAGACCGGTTCCCGCTCACTGGCTGAGCGAGGGGTGGGCGCAGCACCGAGGGTTGCGATCCCGTTGCCGGTCCCAGTCCGGTATGGGCGCGACACTGAGGGTTGTGGTCCGTTGCCGGACATGAAAAAAGACAAAAAGGAAAAAAAAAATAAAAATAAAAAAACTGATTCAAAAGAAGGCTACATAAACCTTGAAAATATGGGGAAAGGGTTGTATAAACCATAAATTCGTATTAATATTTCTAAGTATTTAAATGTTACTTATGGTTTTCTGGTTTATAATTCATTTAAATTCAGTTTTGATATTTTATATTTTAAAGAAATTACTATTCTTAATTTTTGAATTTATTAATGTAAGGTTGATTATATTAATCTTTAGGTATTTTAAAAATCTCTACTCTATCAATGTTTTTTTTCCCTACTATTTATTCTTAACGTTAAGTTTGTCTGCAGAGTTCAGGAGCCCTCAAGACCATCATTGGATTCAGTCATTTACTAAAACTCAAAGAAAAGCTGTTATACTCAGTTGCAGTTCATTACAGTGAAAAGATAAAGATTAAAATCCACCAAGAGGCACATGGGACAATGTCCAGCAGAATCTCAAGCATGAGGCTTCTGGCTGTCTTCTCCCAGTGGAGTTGTGGACAGTGCTAACTGCTCCCAGCAACGAGTGACAATATGCATAAAGTATTGTCAACCAACGACATGCACTGGAGCCTTGCTATAGAGTTTTTACTGGGGATTGGTCATGTAGACATGGTTGACTCCCCATGTGGCTGACCTTAGTTTCCAATCCCTCTGGAGGTCGAACTGATACCATATGGCTAAAAGCCCCACCAAAATCACACTGTTAGCATAGACTATCAGGTATGATCCAAGGCCCCCATTTAAACAAAGACCCTCTTATCAGGCAGGACATTCAAAGAGCTTACAGACTACCTCCCAGGAGCCAAGAACAAAGGCCAGACCTCTCTTTGGGCAAGGTTAATTCTTTCCTGCAAAGTGACCTTTTCTCATTTTTTATCAACATTACAGTAGCTCTATTTCATCAAAACTTTTACTTTATTCAATTTTTATTATAGTCTATAAAATTTTTGTTCAAAATTTTGTTTCATGTGACTTTACTTACCTATATGTCTTTTTTTTTTTCTTTAATTCTGGGATTAGACATCTAGTGCACAGGTTTCCAGACATCTTCTATTCTAGAATATGAACTTGTAGCTATCTCATTTCCCCTAACCTATTCTTGAATTAAATGCATTTCACAGTGTTGATATGGAGCATTTACATTGTCTTTTAGTCTAAAAGATTTTAATTTTTCATTAGAAATATTGACTAGCTTTATTAAAGTTTTTAATATTTGACTATTACTGAATATATACTTTTATAGATATCACAACTTGTTGGAAGCAAACACCATGCCTGGTTATAAAATAGGTTCAATATATGTCTATTAGATCAAACTTATCCATTGTATTCTTACTTAATTTATTAAATTCTTATTAAATTTTTTCTTCATTATCTAGCAATAATTAAGAGGAGTTTCTTTAAATTTTTTGCTATTAATGAGAGATTGCCCATTTTGTTTTAATGCTATAAACTTCACACCTTTGGGTATTTCAAAGGAGTGACACTCTTCCATAAGCAAAACAGTCCCCATGACCTTCACCCCAAGATGCCTCTTCCTTAGCCACTCTATAAATAGTGAATGGTTCCACAACAGATGCATTGCCCCATACTAGGAACACAGAGTCCATATGAAGCCCCTGTCTTCCCAACAGGCTAATTGGTATCAATGATTAATATATAATCTTCTATATTTTGAAAGTCCAAATACCCAGCCTTTTTTCTGACTCTCATTTTCATCACATCTGACTTGAATTCCTATTAAAACCTCCTGGCCTGCTTCCTGTGTACAGTTCACACCAGCCATATCATTCTGCCAATTTTTACCCAAAAGTATTTTAAATATGCTACCTCAAAAAAAAAAATGTGTGTGTATGTATATATGTGTGTATGTATGCATGTGTATTGTGCATACATGTGTGTGTATATGTGTGTATATGTACATATGTATGTCTGTGTATGTACATCAGGATTTGAGAAAAAACCCAAAACCTGGTCTTCAGTGTCCTGCAGTATGTGATAAAGTATTTTATCTCCAGGTCTATCTAGGGCTGCTTGCTGCAGAGTGATTATTTTTCCTTCTCATGTTCTTGATTGACCATTACATAGTCTTTTTCATTTTACTAAACTCTTCTTACACTACTCTGCCCTGTTAATTCCAGAGAAATTTTAATTTATTGGGTTTAAACTTACATATTCATAAAGTGTCCATTACGTCCAAATTATGGTATGCCCCAATTTTAATAAATTCTTAAACCCTAAACTTCTCTATTGCAACCTCTAATAACATAGAAATTATAAAAGCATTCCACAGAATATTTACTTAAATACCGGTTGTGTCTACGACATTATGAATTCTATGAGGATAGAGAGTCTGTTGTTCATAACTTCTCTGTTGTGTCACTGCTCATTTTGGGGCTTAAATATCTGGAAGGAATGAGTTAAGAAATGTGTGCACATTGCAAAGATAAACAGAAAACAGAGCTGCGATGAACATGGGAATGCAGGTATCCCTCCAACATGATTTCCATTCCTCTGCATATATACCCAGAAGTAGGATTGCTGGATTGTATGGAAGATCTATCTGTAGTTGTCTGAGAAACCTCCATACTGTTTTCCATAGTGGTTGTACTAATTTAGTCCCACCAACAGTGCAGGAGCATTCCCTTCTCTCCCCGTCCTTGCCAGCATTTATTATTCACCATTTGCAACAACATGGATGAGCTTGGAGAAACTTATGTTGAATGAAATAAGCAAAGCACGGAGGGATAAATACCACACGTACTCACTCATAAGTGGGAACTAAGAGGGAAAGATGGAAGGAAAGAAAGAAAGACCACAGTGGTGCGTTGGACTTGCAGAGGGAGAGAGGCGAAATGGGAAGGGGATTGGGAGGAGGGATAATTGGGTGGGGGACACTGGGTACAAACAAAATTTGTGGTAATGGGCAAGCTGCAAGTGTGAATCTGGCTTTCACATCTTGGACAAGAAGGGGGACAACCACCTTTGTGTCTCATGAATATTCATAACCAATAAAAAAAGAAAACAAAATTTATAGTTATCTAAATACTTCAGGAAATTGGGTGTTTCTTCTGCAGCAGGCAGAGCAGAGCCTAGATACTCTGGAGTCATGGCTTAAAATAAGAAAGGGACTGACTGTTGGAAAACATAAAGCACTTAGAGCAGTAGTGTGTAGCAGCCACCAACTAGGATTATCAGAAAGAGCTAAATAAATTGATAAGAGAGAAGAGAGGGTATAAAAAAATACAAAAGTGCTCACCAAAGCAAGGATAGTTTGGGTGGCTCTGGTCTCAGGGGAGGATCTGGGGGAGATGCTGTTCCTGTGAATGTGTTGGACCCGCTGCTTGTGTCTGTACAGGATGAAAACCATGTAGATGCTGGCCCAGAGCATGAGTCCCAAACAAACAACATCAGGAAAAGTTAAAAGTGTTGCAAGGAGTGATTGTGTGATTTTGTTATGACCTATCCCAGAACAGTATCCTAAATTTTTCTCCTTTGTGATGTTTTTATTACCCTTGCTAGTAATATAAAGAAGAAAAATAATATTTACCAGCGTGTACAGAATCCAGCACAGGATAATGCAGGAACCAGTGCACTTGAGAGCTTGTGCTTTTAGCTCTGGCCACCTGGACTTCCTGAGACTGATGGTCATGGCCTGGAAAAGACTCAAGAGGCAGGTGCTGCTCATGGACACTCCCCTGCCCACTCTAAGAATGTACAAAACAAATTTGCATCCAAAATCACTGAGGAAAATTTTCAACCCAAAAGCTTTCATTGTATGGGGGACTCCTTTAAAGACAATGACCAAGAAGTTGGCTACAGTTAGGTGCTTGAGAATCAAGTCAGTGAACCTTACCCTGCATCCTTTGAAGTAAAAGAAGATATAATGATAAAGAGAGTAATTCCCCAAAATCCCAAATGTAGTCTGGAATAAGAACATAATTCCCATCACCAAATCCCTGGTGGCCATTCTGCCATTTCCCAGTGATGATATATTCAGTCAGATGATCCTGCACAGAAACATGAGTTCTATTTTATCTTGGCAATTAAAATCTAGTATTCTCTACTTACCATTAATTTCCACTTACAAATTCTTGCTAAAATATATTTTCCTTTCCCTAAAAGATTTGCTAGCTTTGAATATCTTCTTGTTAGCAAAGATCTAAATACAGACATACACGCATACCATTATTTATGTTTTCTAGATAATTTTGTTTTATTTAAAACTTTACAACAAATTTATGAGATAAGTGGTATATAATTCCCATCTTACGTGAGGAAATCCAGGCACAGAAAAACTAAATGTTGTTTCTGAAATACCTTCTAGTCAGAGCTTCAGTAGTTGACAGTATGCTTAACCACTACGTTGTCACAACCTCAGACTTAATGTTTTTCTAATATTCCACATATATATGCATTTTTGTTTGCATATTATGTTCATTTTTTAAAGAATGTTTGCTTTCTTTTTAATTGTGATTGTGGCAATTTTCTATTTGTGTTTGATTGCTTATTTCATAGGCAAATATTGCCTACAAATGTTCAGAGATCCAAATAAAATATAGATACCCTCATTTTAGTATAATCCTGAAACAATAATCATCCAAAACAAATGGAGTTTATTGAATGCACAGATGGCTCCATGTTGGAATAAAAACAGAGAGAATCTTTTCATCCTAACCATGAAGAAGTGTATAATTGAATAAATATGTGCTAAGCAACGGGACATGAAACATGAACAGGAGATAAACATTAGAGATAAAATACTAAATTGTCATTAATCATAGAACCTATGATTACTTATTTATTAATGAAGGAGTATTAAATGAGACTATTGTAATACAGCTGAATTTTTAAATATACTAAAATATATGACTATTATTCACTCATAAGTGAATATGGAGGTATAGAATGTGTGCACTGAACAAGTTTAGATGGTGAAAAAAATAAGTGAGCCTAGGAATGACATCATGAGTTTTTTTGAAACTGAAGAAAATCCTTCTCACAAATTTATTTAATTCTGAAAACCACTGACATCCCTGACTTTTTCTTCTATTATTGAAAACCTAAGGTCATTAAGTTGCCTTTTCTGTGAATGTTTCTTCCCTGACTTCAAGAGGGAAAACAATCTTACCATAATCAACAAACACAAGATGCTTTCTGTCAACACAGAATCAGTGTCTCCATTAAACATATGAGACACGCAGAATAAATTAAAAAAAAAAAAAAACCTGCTTCTACACTGAATTGGAGCATGCAATTAGCCCCATCCAACCCATTATTATAGGCATAGATTTATTTTAGCAGTACCTCTATTAATCCTGGAAATGTTTCTTTGTTTCTTGTAGGGAAGATAGAATAGCTAGCAGATTAATTTCCAACTTATCATACTATAGGATTTTTAAAATAATGATTTCATTGCAGAATCTATGCAGATTTCATTGCTACACATATTAAAAATCAACAACCACAATCCACATGGACTGCAATAAATTACATTAGGAGCAGTTGGATAATAAAATTAGGACCAGCAGTCTGTCTCCAAAAGCTCAACATGAGCCTCCAGAATTATTCCTCCTTCCTGTGTGGCTTTGGCACTAGAACTGTTTTTACACTAGAAGAACTGTTTTTTTTTAGACATGAGCCCTACTCATACTCCTGTTACATCTCCTTTCCTTACAAACTCTGCTTCTCACACTGAAATAGAAAATACTCACCCAGTTCCTCCTGCTGTCAGGATTTGGGCTCAGGGGGACAGTCATAACAGCCAAAATGTGTGTAAGAAAGAGGTGGCCAGACCCTGAAATATGCGTTTATGAGTCTTTGACCTCAACTCCCTTCAGAGATGCAATTATCATTTCACCTGTAGTAGCACTGACAGTGTAGGCTTGGGGAGCTGAGAATATTTTTGAAAAGCTTTGTCTTGGTTACCAATTATGGAAAACAATTACAAGTATCGAGTGAACACCTACAAAGAGTTTGATGAGTTTAGAAAACACTCTTCCTTTTCCATGATCCCTGGAGGTAGCAGGAAATCCTAAGGTCTAATACTTGAGGGACTGGCATTGCAGTATATTTGCCTTACTGGATTCGCTGCTTCCCTGAAAAATTCTTCTACCTAAAATCTAATTATTTATCATACTTCAAACTCCTGAGCTGCCCCATCTTTTATGTTATGGGCAGAGAAATGTAATTACTCAAACTTCCTCAGAAGGATTTTCAATTTAGTAAGAGTAATGGGAAGATGTTAATAATTGATAATAGAAATTACTGGGTTAATTTGTATAACCTAATGAAAATAATTAGAAAACCCTGATGGTATAAAAAATTTCCAGGAAAATACTCTTTACCAATATTGATCCCAGTACAGACAGGAAGTTTAAACTCAACAACATTGCAGAAGGAAAGAAGATCCTAAAAGTGTCCTGCACAGATAAAAGTTTCAGTATTAGATGGTTTAATGGGAAAATTCTACTATTATTTTAAATATCAGATAACAACATTATTTACCTACTTCAAGGGCATTAAAGAGGAAGTAAAACTTTCAAATAATTTTAGGACATTCAGTAGAACATGCATACAAAAACCTTCCAAAATTGTACCAAATAGAATAAGACAGAGAAACCTCATATCTGCCTATAGATGCAAACATGTAAAATAAATACTAGCGAATATATTACAAAGGCCATTTAAAAATAATAACTAATGAACAAGTAAAGTTTATTTTTGTTTTTGTTTGTTTTTTTTTCCCCAGAGAAAGAAGACGTTATCACTTATAGCACATCAGGCAATAGGAGCATCAGAATATTTGCACTGGTTTCCCTCGCTCCCAAGTCCCAGGAAAGCATACCATGGTTTCAGCTGACACATTTCAGAGGCTAGGAAGTCTAGGTACACATCTAGAGAAGGTCTTGGAGGTGGTGACAGTGACAGCAGGGTACCACATTGTGAAATGGTGGAGCAGAGAGACCGAAGAGTAAAGTTTATTTTTGAGGTCAAGGGTGATTATAGTGATGTAGTTTATCACATTTATAGAGACAAAGATAAAATTCCTATGATTATGTTTATAAACGTGAAAACATTTATTTGGAAGAATTCAACATGCATTAATGTTAAATGAAAATACTCAAAATTAGAAATTGACAGATCTTTTCTAAACTGACTGATCAAAGTCTTCATTCTACTCATGGAAAATCACCATACAGTTCTACTAAAGTCAGAAACATTACTAAGAAGCACAAGATTGCCTGTCCTATTCATTTAACATTGCATTGTAAGCAAAGCCAAGGCAATTTCAAGTAGCATAAGACTTGGAAACAAAGATATAAGACTCTCCCTATTTGCAGATAATATTGTAAAAGCCCACCACGGCAAATAGTCATAGATAATTAGCCTTAGAAGAGCCATTTTGTATAATACAGTCTTAAGCAGAATGCTAGCCATAAGGAAGCCTTTTTGTAACTCTGGCTCACCACATAGCTCATGAGAAAACAATGCAGAACTCAGTGCTTAAAAAAAGCAAGATAATAAAAGCTAATCAGTAACTTGCAGAACCAACCATTCTTCCTCGAAGCCACAGCTGTCCAGGAACAAGATGGCATCCAGCTTCTGGGAGCTGGATAAGACCCACATTCCAAGGATGAGTTAAAGAGTTACAAGAATGGCCATGAAATAACAAAAGCTCAGAGTCTGCAAAATTACACATAGTAGCTGCCTGATAAGAATAGCCTTCCCCTTTTGTTTCTCACACTTTTCCCTTTAAAAACCCTTGTTGAGGCTTCTGAGCCCTTGAGGCAGTTTTAGTCTGACTGTCTCCCAGGCCTAATAATAAATTTCCTGCCTCACACAAACATTTGGGACTGACAAGTATTTTGTTTCTAGAGGACAGCACCCAAACTTGGGCTCCAGTAACACTATAATTATGAATGGTACCTGGAAACACAGAAGAATTGAGGGAAATATCTACTACAAAAAATAATAGACTATGACTTTAGCACAGAGAAAAAACAGTCTTTATATGGACAA